AAAATTGTGTTGTACGGAGTTAAATACTACATTATTGTGGGAGCCACCTCTGGAGTTCGTACGAGCCACCTTTGGAGTCCATACATCCGTTCTATTTTGTACCGTAGTTATGATTTCTGGTGTAGAGCAAAGTGTTGTACGGAGTTAAGTGCTACACTATGGTGGAAGCCACCTCTAGAGTTCGTACGAGCTACCTCTTGAGTCCATACATCTGTTTTGTTCCGTTCTGTACCGTGATTATGATTATTTTTTTTATATGATTTTTGTCAAATGATTTCCGTATATATTCTGTATTTTAATATCAAACTTGATTTAGCCAATAATTATCCATGGTGAATTTTATGCCCTTATGCTCTTAGTATAACATTTCTCACTCTGCCATGTGCTTATAACTATTTACCAATTTTTAGAAAATAATGCAATTTAGAAATAGCTTTTAAAGAGTCTTAGACACGGGCCTGCGGAATAGACACACACCGCACTTTTATGGTATTTTTATATGTAAATATCGGCCATTTTGGTCAATAAATTTTGTTATAAAAATAGAAGCACCAATGATTATTTTGGTACCCTCACTTAAATATTTTATCGCTCGCGTTTAGTAATTTATTTAAGAATTGGTCGGAGGTAACTTCAGTTACTAGCCATCACGATGCTTAACCCTTGGGTACGGAGAGCGGGTCGTGACATCTTGTGGCGTTTGCAAAGAAGCTTGACTTTCTCTCTAATCATTTCTTTAGCTTGAGGACATGCATCTTTGTAGAAGTTCATAACTAGACCAATTTGTTCTTCAGTTTCCTCATTTTTGCAAAAGCTAGTTTGAGATTAAGAGAAAACAACACCGAGAAGGATAAGATTGAAAAAAAGAGAGCTTTGGAACCCATTTCTCTATCTCTCAACTCATAAAAGCTCATTGGCCTTGCTTTAAAAAAAAAAAACGTAAACTCAAAACAGATTGAACAACAGCTGATTAAAAAAAATAAAAATCAAATAGCTCCAACTATAGCTCATGGGATACCTTCAATTAAAAAAAAGAAAGATGGAAGCCATCAGATACAGCTATAGCTCGCGGGATACCTTCAATAATAATATAAAAAAAAAAAAATCTATTCTTGGGGCTTTTACCTCATGTATTTTGAATATGTTGAACCTTCTTGAAGAATAGCTTCGAGGAAGGGCGTCAGAGCAACGACCTAGCGAGGGCGAGACCGAGAAGCCATTATCAAGTGGGTTGGGCTCCAATAGAATAAAAGAGAATAGGATTGAAACAAAAACACAGAGACTGAGATGTGTAGAGAGAAAGAGGAAGGCTGCATTTGTTGTAGTCGCGAAGGTGGGCTTCTGTGTTGTGGAGGCAAGTCTTCACCGGATGGAAGAAGAAAGAGAAATAAAGAGAGTCGCTATACTTTCTGGGAAGAAGGGCGGAAAAGAGAGGTAGAGAGAGAGAGAGAAATAGAGAGTACAAGGACAGAGCGAAAGTGAAAGAGAGAGAGAGATCAGAGAGTAGTGAAATGATGAAAGAGAATAGAAGTGGTGAGAGAAGAGAGAGAACATCTGGGTGGGAAATGAATGCATCTCAACCATTAAATTTTGGATGGAACAATCTGAATTAAAACCAAATGTACTTCTGATACATTTTGGACATTTTCAAAAACTCTTCTGTCTTATTATATAGATAATCACTATTAATTGATAATTTTTTAAGAACCAACATTGTTTAATGGTGCATATATAGTTATTAATTATACTAATTAATAATTAATACCTAATAAAGTATTTTGATTATATGTTAAGAAGTTAAAAAATTATTACACTACATACTAAATATTTTATTGAGTAGAACATATTGAACTTTGACAAGTCTTTTTCAGTCCACTCTCAGCCTTATCCTTCGACGCATGTCCAGCAGATTTGCGCAGATTAAGCCCAATCCCACATAATGCCCAGCTCAAAAAGCCCGAGGGGTTTCTAATATAATTATTGTAGGGTTATTTACATTAATATCTTTAAAGTATTGAAAATTATCACTTTAATCCTTAAGTCCTAAACTATTAAAGCCTCTTTTGAAAAGTGTTATAAAAATAAAAAATAAAAAATAAAGTCAATTTATTAGCTTATTAAGGTCTCGTTTGGAAATAGGCTATTTTAGTAATTTTTTAATTTTTTACGAAAAGATGTACAAAAGAATAGAGAGAGAGTGATGTGACAACTTATAGTAACTTTTTGACTTTTTAGCTAAAATGTATAATTGACAAACGAGGCCTTAGTCATGTCTCTACTTTTTACACATCTGAGGGGGTGACCCCTAAAAGGGGGTCCCAAGCATTATTCATATAATTATTGTAGGGTTATTTACATTAATATCTTTAAAGTATTGAAAATTATCGCTTTAATCCTTAAGTCCTAAACTATTAAAGCCTCTTTTGAAAAGTGTTATAAAAAAAAAAAGAAAAAAAAGAGTCAATTTATTAGTTTATTAAGGTCTCGTTTGCAAATAGGCTATTTTAGTAATTTTTTAATTTTTTACGAAAGATGTACAAAAGAATAGAGAGAGTGATGTGACAACTTATAGTAACTTTTTGACTTTTTAGCTAAAATGTATAATTGACAAACGAGGCCTTAGTCATGTCTCTACTTTTTACACATCTTTTCATAAGAGTGATGTTATTGGCACCCCATGAATTATTTGGGACCCCTAATTTCTTTGGGCCCCCACTTATAAATTTTGAGACCTTCAAAATTTCTTTTCTTCCTCCAAATAATACCAAAATTATCTTTGTGAAAATATTCTACCGATTGAATGTACACCTCCACACCCTCATACCCTAAAAAAATCCCTCTTCTAAAAAATCCTAACAAAACCCACCAAGAAGAAGAAGAACCAATGTGATTACCTGCTGTCTCATCTACCATTGTCACAATTGGTATGCTCTTTCTCTCTCTCTATATATATACATAATTTCTTAATTTTCTAGTAATAATTTCTCCTCTTGTAGTAAAAAGATTATAATAATTGGTTTAGTTGATTTTGTTAATAGATATTATGAAATTGTGAGTTTAGCAGAGAACTACGCAGTAATATTATCAAAGCTACGCGATGAAGAAATAACTTTTGAACCTGAAAATATATTTGGGTTACTTCTGATAACTTCTACAAGTGTTAAAAATTTTGACCATTCAATGTGTTAAAAAATTTCCATGTTCAGGGTTGTATTCCCGAACTTGAAAAAATGAAAACTTCTGCAAGCGTTAACAATTTTGACCGTTCAATGTGTTAAGAAATTTTCATATTCGGACCTGCATTCCCAAACATTACTTATTTGTTCAGGAATGCCTTCCTGAACAAATAAACAATGTTCGAACCTGTGTTCCCGAATTTTGATTATATGTACAGGAGTTCAATCCCAAAAAAATGACGAACATATTTTATTATTTTTGTCATTTTTCAAGAAATTTACCCTTACAAGGCCAATCTCCTCTGAGCTAAGAACAATCTCGAAGCTATGAACCTTCTATACGCTTTTGTTGTTGTACTCTTCTTGTTTTATGGAGTGTGGTTACAAGAAAAACTTCCACTCATTGTCATTGCTGGAGAAGTGTAGGTAATTAAATGGTTGCCACTGTTATCACCGGAATATTGCCGCCAAACGATTTTTAAGGTTTTGAGGGTAGGTAGGTTTTGAATGTCAAATTTGAGAAAGATGAGTGGTAGGGATGGAGGTGGGTACTCTCATAAACCCTAATTCATGATGTAGTGGATGTGTAGGTTTAATTGTGAGATGGGGTGTTCCGAAATTAATGATGTCCTTTTTAGTAATTTTATTTGAGGTTATTATTGTAATAAAAAAAATTTAAAAATTGAGGGTCCAAAATAATTGATGAAGTGTGAGAGGGTAATTTGTAAACAAATTGGGCCGAGCTAGGAAGAGTCTTCTTTGGGAGTTGGACCGCGTAATGGGCCAAGATAAGGGCTGGTGTAGCTCGGTCTTAGGCCAAGAAGACATCTCATATTTTGGGTTTGGGCCGAACTATGGACCGAGGTATTGGTAGAAAGAGGACCGAGCTAAACGATAGCTCTACAGGGCGCATCTCGAAGTCAAGACTGATAGTAGTACTAAAAGTATCACAAAGCCAAAGTAACTTGGTTGACCGCAATGTTAGCCGAGGTAAAGATGTTAGTCGAAATAAGTGGGCCTGGTGGTTAGCCGAGGTATTGGTGAGAAAGGATGTCGGGCTTGGTATTGCTCGGCCAGTCTTGGTATAACTCGGTCGGGCGCCATCTACATCATTACTTAAGCGTGTGACCGAGGTAACTTAGCTCGGTGTGGTTGCAGCAGCTTATTAAAAGGAGGTAGCATCAATGGCGAGGGCCGAGCTGTGTACAGGGGTGTGCACGGTGCGGGTTGGTGCGGTTTAGGGGGAAAATAGAAACCGTATGGCGGGTGGCGGATTGATAAAAATGTCATTAGAATTTGCCATTTTTTTTTATCAAAAACCGGCGGTTCGATTGGCAAATAATAGTGTATTTGTCTTGGCGGTTCGGGCGGTTTGGCGGTTTATAAACAATATAATTCAAATTATAAAACTTGAATCAAAGAATAAAAATATCTAATTTATAAATTAACTGAAATAGTCAAAATTAAAATAATCAAAAGTTAAAAATAAAGATGCATAACCTGCAATTGTTCCGGTGAAATACCCTCTGGTGGTATGGCAGAGAAAACTTACAATTTAGGTGATCCAGCAGCAGCATATGTTCTCCCTTCCTCAGTAAGTGCCCATCTCTCCCTCTTAATGTCCTGCACAATTAGCACGAAGCATATGTAATCCACAGAAATAACATCTACAATTATATGACGTGATATGACCCAACAGATGTCATTCTATTATACTAATGCAGTATTACCATGCAATCTGAACTCAGTAACCTGTAGAACATCTAAATTCAACTTCTAGAGCTTGGCCAATTAGAACATCTAAATTCAACACAATAGCAACTCAAGTTAAAAATCTATCTATTCCATCAATAAATTAGTTCAACCAACATAGTTCAACATAATTCATCCAACATAGTTCTACAACATAATTCATACAACATCCAACATAATTCATCAACATAATTCATACAACATCCAACATAGTTCAACAAAAAAAGTTCTACAACATCCAACATAGTTCAACCAACATAGTTCAACATAATTCAACCCACAAACAATCCAAGAATTCAAATAAATTAATCTACTCATCAAACTCCACAATAACTTCAATCCTTCACAATTGCTTCAACCAAACTTCAAAAACTTCATTAATCTGTGGACATGAGCAAAGAAAACATAAATAAATAACAAAAAAACTATCATCAAAATCATTATAAAAAATATAAAAAAAAACATTATAACAAAATAATATTCAAGAGTAAGAATTAAGTCTAACCTCAAGAACTTTAAAACCAAACTAACTTGGAGACAAATTAGTCCTCAACAATAGTTGCTTCTTGTGCAGTAGATAATGAAAAAAATTCTGGAAAATAAAAGATATTTTTAATGTTATTCAAAATTACATAAAAGCTAAAATCAATATTGAATAATCTTTTTAAAATAAACACATATCAAAAAAATTACCTAACTCAATTTCTTCATTTTGTTCAACATCATTCATACATTCTCTAAGATTGATTGGAATTGATGAAGACCGTAACCAATTTTGTGCACAAATTAGAGCCTCCACCATCTTTGGCATCAAAGAACTCCTAAATGGATCAAGCACACGTCCACTGGTACTAAAAGCTGACTCAGAAGCCACTGTAGAAACTGGGACAGCCAACACATCTTTTGCTATTAAAGAGAGAACCTTATACTTATTGCCATTAACCTTCCACCAATTCAAAATATCAAAGTTTGGAACTCTTGGGTCTACACAATCATCAACCAAATATTTTTCCAACTCTGATTTGTTCTCCACACTTTTTTCTGCCTCCAAATGGCTAATATATTGAGAGGCAAAGAGTGTCATGGGATCTTCCTCTTCCTCTTCATCAACTTCCATCACTTGCGGAGCTTGACTTGCATATGAAGGTGCAACATTACCAACATTGTTCTTCTCAACATAATGATCAAACAAGCGCTCCAATGTTGCCTTCACCCTCGCCACTAAAATTTCTACCTTGTCATTTTCATACAATTTATTGAATGAAAACTTAAGATATGTCAACTTGTAGCGAGGGTCTAACACAACGGCAACATATAACAAGAAATTGATATTATCGAGATTCTGACAATATTTGTCATATTTCAATTTCATCTTATCAGCCATGTTACTCAACACTACATCTCCACTTTTACTCAATTGAACTAATTTAGATTGCACCGACACGAGTTGATGAAAAAAACATTAGATGTCACATGCAAAAGACCCTGAAAGTTGCAAAGTCACATGATAAAAAAGTCTTAAAAATTTCACAAAGACTCTAGCTACCTCCCAATCTTCTTCTTTAGGATATGAAATGAATCCTTTTCCTTTCCTTTTGCCTCTTCCACCATCATTCTCATTTTCAACATCATTTTCCATGAAAAAACTTGAATCGTAGGTCTTTCTATTCTAAACACTCAAAAGCTTTTTGGAATTTCTCGGCTACCTCCAACATCAAATAGGTGGAATTCCACCTTGTTGGAACATCAAGGCATAACAAACTTTTACAAGTAATCTTTTTATGCTCCACACAATTTTTAAAAGCTTGTAGCCTAGCTGAAGATGATTTACATATTTCACAGCTTTTCGAATCTTGGCAATTGAGTGATTTTGTTCTTTTAAACCATCACAAACAATTAAATTCACTATGTGTGCACAACATCTCATATGCAAAAACTCATTTGCCAAGATAGTGGAAGGCCAATCTTTTGTTCTTCTCTTCAAAAATGCAATAGCACCATCATTAGAGCTTGCATTATCAACTGTAATAGTGAAAATCTTATCAATCCCCCAATCTTGCAAGCATTTGTCTAATTGTTTGCCAATTGTCTCACCCTTATGATTAGGAACTATACAAAAACTAAGAATTCTCTTGTGCAAATTCCAATTATTATCAATCCAATGGCCGGTGACACACATGTTACACTTTTGCTATTGGCTTAAGTTATTATGTACTTAATGATTTTGTTATATACCCCACCTCGGGGTTGGATTTGTATATGCCTGTAAATAACTAACTCTCAAATGTATTTTGGCTTTTGGTGTACTTGTCCTATAAAATGTTTATGATCCTGGCATGACTTAGTAGCTCAATGGATGTCATATTTTCTGGTTTATAGCACTGATTATTACAGCTTCCGGTCAGGCCCCTCTTTGGAACCAGGGTAAGTGTCCTTTTTTGCTTAGGTCATGCCCAAACTTTTAGGGGCAAGATAAGGGCGCGACAGTATGTTTCCAGTAAATTCATAGACTTAAAGACTAATCACAATTAGCACCAGTATGTTTCCAATAAATTTGCTCATTAAAGATTCTCAACTCTCCTACTGAATTTGTGAGTTCATGGGCCTAAAGTAAATTCATAGAGTTTAACTGGGTTGAAAACAGTGATGTTCTCCTTTCTTTTGCGCAGTCCACCACATCAATTCGCATAAAGCTATAAGACCAACAAAGTTATTCAAGTTGAAACAGCAAACAATTCTAATGGCAACATCAAGAACATTTATCATTTCTCTCCCATGAAGGCACTATTTTATAATGTACATAGCAGCCCTACAAATTTGAGCAAACATTCAAATATCCAATTTGACATTCATTTGTGAAGGTACTCCATGTAGGTTATCATGTCAACAGGTCTTCCTCCACAAAACAGATGTTGTCTGTGGAAAATATTGACCTGAGGCCTTTAATTACATATTTGTAGCTACTTTACCAACTATACAATTCCACTGCTATGATTGCAGGAAAGAGTTTGGGTGCACATGAATTACAAAAACACAAAAAAGAACTCAAATTGCCCAAGGGGCTTTGCAGTTTTCCTATTTGTAAATTAGGTAAACTAATAAAGATATCAGAGATCTAAACACAAATGATGACTTGTATAGCTTTGATCTCACAAGGTTGAATTTCACAAATTGAAAATTAAATGGAGATATTGAAGTTTGCATATTTCTCCATGGATTCACCTATATAGTCACACCTAAGGAAAAACTCTAGAATGTTAGATTTTGAGATCAACAGCCAAACTTGAAATATAACAAAATAAACAAAATAACACACTATATAAAATAAAAATAAAATAACAGAGACAACATAACATTACATTATAGAGTAGAGCAATATTATTGCATGAATCAACAACACTATAGATATATATATATATATAGAGTAGAGCAGTACCAGCATTGCAGTATATATGTATACACAAAGAACAAAGAGAGAGTGAAAGAAAAGAGACAGAGAGAGCATCGAGAGAGAGAGAGTAGCGAGAGTACCGACGAGGAGGAGGAGAAACCAGCGGGAGACGATCGGCAAGGGAAGGAGAAACAGTGGCGAGACGATCGGCAAGGCAAGGGAAGGAGACGAGCAGTGACGCTGGGTGTATGTGATGAACGAGATGAAATCGAAATGTGTGGCTGTGTGTGGGTATTAGGTTTAATGGAGGAATGATTGTGTGTGAGAGGGTGTATAACAACTGGGAAATTTTTTTTAAAACCTAGGTGATCGGGTTGGGTTGACAGGCGGTTTGAAAATTTTAACCCGCCACCCGCGCCGACCCGCCACTGCAGGTCCTCCAACCCACCCAACCCGCCTGCCAGAACTGAAATTTTGGCGGTTCGGTGCGGTTTTGGCGGTTTTGGCGGTTTTATGCACAGCCCTAGCCATTACATTCTTACTTCTTCCTAGTATTTTTTAAAAAAACTTAGGCGGTCGGGTCGGGTTGACAGGCGGTTTGAAAATTTTAACCCGCTACCCGCGCCGACCCGCCACTGCAGGTCCTCCAACCCGCCCAACCCGCCTGCCAGAACTGAAATTTTGTGCGGTTCGGAGCGATTCGGTGCGGTTTTGGCAATTTTGGCGGTATTATGCACAGCCCTAGCTGTGTATAGCTCGGCAGAGTGGCATCCGTTAGATCAGCTTTCGATCACACGATCCAAAGGACAGGGGACCGAGATAAATCAGTTCGGGCAAGAATGTATAACCGAGGTAAAAGGTTCAGCCATCTCACTTGGCTTGCAGTGATGAGGCTTCTAATAGGACTCTGCTAAGGAGAGTTAGAGTCCTACTGGGATTGTGTAAACCATCTCACTTGGTTGGTAGTGAGTAGGAGTATGACTCCTAGGAGGACTCTGCTAAGGAGAGTATAGTCCTACTAGGATTGTGCAAAACCATCTCACTTGGTTGGTAGTGAGTAAGGTGTGTGATTCCCAGGAGGACTCTCATACGGAGAGTTGGAATCCTACTAGGATTGTGCCAAAGTAAAGTCTATAAAAGCTCATGACCAGACCTATGGACAGGTATCCCAATTCTTACTCTAGAATACACAGAGCTTATTGTCTATTGTCTAGTTGCTGACTTTGGCATTAGAGGGGTTTCCGGCACACACCCGCCGGCTAGTTCACATTTGTGTTTTCAGGTAGCAAAGCGACGACGTTTGGAGGACTGTAAACTTGATCAACAGGATCATACAAGAAGATTTATTTCTTTCCTATACAATTGGCGCCGTCTGTGGGAAATTCACAAAGAGCAAAACCTCTTGATCAAGTTTTCCTCTCTAGTTGAAAGCAATGGCGCACAATGAAGACTTGCCGCAATCTGCTATAGATGGGCAAACTCTGGAAGGGGGTGGGAGGCGCAAAGGTTTACCTTCTATCCCACCCATGGCGGAATTAGATCCCCAGCGAAGGAATCCACGGAAAAAAGCAAGAAGAAGACAGGGCTCAAGTCCACACCGTTCTCGGAGCCCTGATAGACAGAGGCGGAAGATGGATCATCAGGTTCTCGAAGATCGCGTAAGGGAGCAAGACGAAGTAATAAGAAGAATAACGGCTGACATAGAGTTTATGAAGAGCGAGATAAAAAGCAAAGGGGTAGTAACAAAAGAGGGGAGCAGAGGCAACACACACTCTTGCCACTCAGAAGATCATGACAGACAAGTCACACTATCACAAACTGAAAGTAGAAGCCTCAGGTCGGGTGATACACAATCAAAGACTTCCAGGACACGCTACTCCAGACCTGAGAAAAAGAAGACTGAAAGGGCTCGAAGGAGAGAAGACACTCAGGCTCATGACCCCCGCAGAGTCTCCGCACTACAACGATTGGCTCCTAGAACACATAGGAGTGTCGAGGTTGGAATTCCAGAACCAGATTCAGAACAAACACCAAGACGCCAGTGGAGATTGACCAGCTTCTCTCCATCAGCATGGGTAAGAAGGAAACATTGAAGTCTTACGACAATCGGTATTGGGAGACCTTCAACCATGTAACAGATTGTCCTACAAACCTAGCTATTGCACAGTACAAGCAAGGTCTATTAGTGGGTCATAAATTGAG